CACGTTGTCCACTTATTATCATATTTTTTCCAACCACAAAGTTACTCGATTAACGTGAATAAAGAATTTTACTGTGAGAGCAAGTAAATTTTTAAACTGAATTAAATAAAACTTTTAATGAATTATTTAATGGTATTAATTTTTAATATTACTTTATATCAAATAACAAAAATGAAAGCAATGTGTTTTGAAAATTAAAACTGTATTTCCAAATTTATCTGTTATTTTAAAAAAACATTTTTGTGAATCGAAAAGTTTATAAGAGGATTTTATTTCCCACACTATCAATTGACATCAATTAACAGGGGAAAAATTTAATTCTATCAAGTGGCGGTTTTTATTTTATTAATTTTACTATTTAAATAGTATAAAAATTGCTTACTACATGACTGTATAAGATTAAATTACGTGATCAATTTAGCAAATATTCTTGAATCTTAATTTTTTTTTCTTTTCTTTTTATAGCTTAGGTTTTCTCTCTTTCTTTTATCTTTAAATACAATTAAAAGTATTTTTTCACAAGAATATAATTTATAATTAACATATATGTAGTTAACATATTTAACTTACAAGGCTAGTTTCTATACAATTTGGTGCGATATTTACAACCTGTTTTACTTTCTCCTCCACGCAACATAATCGATTCCATTAAAAGACTCGAGGATATTTGTAATGTATATAGGTACGTACAAACCAGCTTCGTAAACATCGTGCTTTGTTATCTCGGGATCAGCTGCGAAAAACCTGAGCTATACATTCCTTCGATCCTTTGTACCTTTTTCTTCCAGCTTATATAAAGAAGTTCTCGAACTCAAAGAAGCAGAGCCACGGTCAGAATACGGATTCAGAGGCTACTGACGCTTAAGAAAAAATATGTAATGCGATTTGTATGATAGGATTTTACAGTGTCGCGCACATGTGTGTATTTCAACGCTGCAAAAATTTCGAGACAGATCGCTTCCTTCCCTCTTCTTGTTATCGAGAAATATGTTTCGCTCGAGATACCGGTGCCGATGGATCCATGCCCATTCTTCCTCTCTTGTCCTTTGAACTTTCCCTCCGAGCTATCCGCTCTCGAAGGCTACTTCGCTTCCCTCGAGCGAAATCCATGAAATCCCGCGCGATTCCAATGCACAATTTTCTGCTTCGATATTTTCCGGCATACGGAACACGTATGTTTCCTCCGGACTCTCCTTGCCCTTCTTGTAATATGTTCGCATGTACTTGCGAGTGTGTGCACGCCTACGTATACGTGCAAGCGTGTCCGGGCGCAATCGAGCGAGTGGGAATGCCGTGGAACGAAAGGAAGAATGAGGGAAAATTGTAGACTCAATGGGGTTGATGACCCCTGCTCGCGGCAAAGCGATTGCCGTCAGCTCTTTCATGATCGGAATAGTTTTTGCCAGCTGAATAGTTTAGTAGCTTAAGTTTGTTTTACGGGACTCGTTTTAGACGAGCTGTAATTCGCGACGGAACTTTATTTATGATTTTGTCGTACGTGCGACAATAAAATTATCGTAATTATCAAGATTTAAAATAGGCATTATATTTGTCTCGCGCACTTCATGTTGCCGCTCGATGCACAATAGCGACGAGAAGCGTTATCGCGCGTGGCTATTCCCTTCCCCGACCCCTCTTTTACTATTTAATTAGTAAAACATTGTGCATAAACATTGCACAATCGATCATACTGACATAATGCTTAACGCGCGGTGTAACGCGCGATGCGTGCGAAATATGAATATTTACTTAACGGGGCCAGATGTTGGTCCATAAATCAACGTACTTCATAATCTATACGGACCCTCCAAATGCATAAACCGTATAACGAGGGCGTTGCGTCCTACCGAGTATTAAATATATTAATGGCGGTATTAACACAGGGCGTGAAAATAATTTATGACACCGCGAATGTCAAACTCCGGAGCGCGTGCCAAATTTTTAACAGCGAAGACACATGACGTTTAAATACGATAGACATAAATATGACATACCACTCTTTATCATGATACCATTTTTTTTTAAACACGATGGAAAAAAGCCTTTCTTTGATTCTTTTTAACGTAGAACTATTCTTATATTCCTGTTGTTTTAAAATCATTGCGTTTTCTGATAATACATTCACATCGAACATAAAAGGATATCGTTATACTTTTGTAAGGAAGTGGAGAAGTTATTGAATAATAATATAATCTTTTCATAACTTCACGTGACTTATAAAAGATATACTTTTATTGTGTTATTTATTTAGAGCAATGTTAATTAACCGTTTTAAATATGTGAAATTTATGCGCCAAAGGAGATCACATGCTTGCAGCGATGGGTTGTAGCTCAAATGAGTTTCCGCACGATTTCGAAATCTGCGGTGACTGAGCACCGAGTCTATTGAAATAATTGATCCGTAGATAAACTAATTACTAGCTATAGTACTTGAACCGCGGTTTATATTAGCGATGGCACAGCAGCACGAAGCCGCGGAGCCCGCGAGAATGTATGTGTGCACGCATAACGTCGAACCGTCGAGTGTTTCGCGAATCTATGTGAATGTTTCGCGTAATTAGGATGGCTGTCATACGTACATACGTGCCTCAATATGTCGTGATTAATAGACATGTAAATAGCCGCAACCCTCAGCTATTTCCTCTCCCTTGCTTTGCCTCGAGTGCCTTGCACGAAACGAATGAATGAATTTCCTATTGCAATAACCTCACGCCAAAATATTGCGAACTATTCACATGATGATTTATATGATAACTGTGGTTTATTTTGAGGATTATTTGTTACACTTTTATTTTTGTTATTTTTATTATCGGCTTCCGTTTCTATTTTGAATTCTGATTCACACGCAATGAATTAGAACTCAAATTAATAATGATTACTATATGTTTCTCATCGCCGAGTGCTAAAATCAGTGATTAATGATTATAATTATGTTATGATATGAATAATCACGAGCAGCGAATAATAGGAATAATCAAAGATTATTTTGGTTATTTCTATAATTTATTAATTATTGATTATTTGATAAATGTGATTATATAATGATTACATAATTAATAAAGTACTTTAAATGCATTTGCATTAATGGTTAATCACAAAATTGGCCAATTACCGGCCAACATTGTGACAAATTTAATTTGCTCACGCTAGGAATTGCGTTTGCGAAAAAGAATTGTGTCTCGTCATTTGCATTTAAGGTAATATTTTCATTTCCATTTGCATAATACTCGGCTGTGTAATTGTCCAACCGTGTACGAAATTGTGTCATAATCATAACGCGTTGTTACTGTCACACGATAAAACTGTATGCAACAATGTATGATGTATGTAATCAGAGATGTCAAAAGGAGAAACAAACAAAGAACGTGAGACTATCGGATTTTCACTTGCCGCCTTTGCGGGACAAATTCGAATTCTTTCTGGAAGCACACGCGCGTCAGCGGGTCCGGCAAAACTGTCTGTATACACGTGTGTCTATAGAGGCAAACATACGTGACTTGCGTACAAATTGCATGACATTTCGTATGATTTTCTCGTATCAAGTGAAAACTTGAAACTATTTTACATTGAAAAAAATTATTTTGTTGGAAGCTCTTACAACAAAAATTATATAAAATATCTGTACAAAATATTAAATTCTTTTTTATAAAATATATAATTTCTATAATTGATTTGATTTTATTACTTACAGGAAAAATATTATATATATATATATATATATGTATAACATATAAAATAACACATTATATATCTTTCATTTTAACGGTTAAGTGATAAATCATAATTAAAGTGTTCAGTAATGAAATTAGATTTTATTACTTTCTCTTTTTCTCTCAGAATTTTTAATTCAAGCTTTAATTGGATATTTAATGTTACAATTATACAAATTATGAAAAAAATGCGATAGATTTTAATTTACAATGACAAAGACTGTTATCAGAAATTCGGAAATTACACTTTGAAATCTTTGAAATTATTACTATTGAAGTTTTCACGGATGTACAAGCGAAAAAATGTAAGGAGCATGTGAGAGAAAACACGCAAAAGCAGCTTGCGCGAGCATTCACCGGCGGTACGGAATAAATTCTCACTCGAATCACAGACAAAGAAGGGGTTTTTCAGGGAAAATGCCGACGGGAAATATTTGCGGGGAAAAGTGCGATGCGCTACTGTCTCTCGGGTTTTTAGTCGGCGACAGTAACCTTCGGGGAATGCGGCTTTTATCACCTTCACAAAGCAACAGAAATCATTATCATAAGAAATTACGTTTGGGCTTTTGGGCGACAACTGGCTGGAAGAGAGCGAAAAGCGAAATGTAGATTGGAATTATTAAAATTACATTACGTCGCACACAATTGATCATGTATTAAGATCTCGAACAATTGAGATGCTTCTTAATGTGGTCCATTGAATATATGAACTTCTTTTTTTAATAAGTTTAAAATTAAGTTTCTTACTAAATAATTACAAATTATGCAAAATATAATAAAAATAATGGTAAATAAGTGAATGATCGTCGACAATTTTTATGTCCATTATCGCAAATTGATATCAGATTCTTCGACCGTACGGAATTTTGTTCACAAATTTCGATGTCACTTATCACAATTTTCCAATTTTCAGCGCTACATCTCTGGAATTAAGTTCCGCGTTAAAATTGCATTAAAATGATATTTGAGATACTTGTGAAAATTAATTGAAAAATACAATTTTATCCACGCTTTATTTGCATAAGATTTGTGTATTGTTTATTCATGTGTTATCGATATCAGAGAACGAGATACCACGGAACGAAGAATCAGTTATAAAGTATTAATGTTAATGACGATGAAAATCGCGATTATCAGGAATCGCATTTATCATGAATGAATCCGCCGTTCCACTTATTTGCAACTTCACGACGCGTTACTGATAGTATATTACAGACCTTACGCGATCCAATAACACAAACAGGAGCGTATCAATAATATGTTTATATTCTTTGTATTGGCTGTTTCAAGTCATGGTACGACTACAAACTGCGATGGGAGCCGAAGGAGTACGGCGGAGTTAGCATGTTGCACGTGCCGTCCGATCACATATGGCGGCCCGACATAGTGCTCTACAACAAGTGAGTTCATCAGCTGCGTCTTGTTTCAGATTTTGATTATTATGGATACACATTGATCTGATATATACATATTGTAGTGGCACAGCATGCTGCCGAGAGAGAGAAAGAGAGAGAGAGAAAGGGAGAGAGAAAGAGAATGAGAGAAAGAGAGAGAGAGAGAGAGAGAAAAAGAGAGAGAGAGACACACTGGAGGTCGAGCGAGCACACGTTTAACGCGTTTAACCATGGTGATTTCTTGCGTGTTAATGCAAATTGCGATCGGTATCGAAATATTGCGCGCGCGTTTCTTTATTCTTTTATCGCGCACGATATGACAATCCGTGATATTGATCGTACAGTGATTTCAATTAAGTTTCATACGACACATAATTCCATCAAAGTAATTCTACGATGTACTTAATAATTCCATTAAAATAAATCAGAATGAAAATTACGATTTAAGTATTCATAGCGATTTGTAATTAGTCAGTTTGATTTAATTTGTAGTTTGGATAAATTTCACAGATCGATGTAACTGCAATTTGTCATTTACGGCTTTTAATTGTTTAATTTAAATCGATTAATTTTTTTCCCCCCTGAATTCGCAGCGAAATTTAAAAAACTGGCTTTCTCTAACACAGTGCAGACGTGTATATTTATTTTCAAATTATTTTAACGTAATTTTACACTGCCGGTCGAGCTAAATTGATTTAAATTCGTCACGTAATAATTCGATAGTGCATGCTGTGCGTATCGGTATGTAACCGTTTGCGGTGAATAATGAAACTAAACGAAAAAACGAGTGTCCACTCGACCTCGACAAGTGAGGTACCATTGTCGTGCATATTGCATTTCAAAGTAGGATATATATATACGGTATATATATTCGATGCGGGCGGTATATTTCGCGCCGCGGCATCGTTTTCAAAAGTTACGGAAAAATGTGAAGCAGTTCGATTGGCGGCGATTTTGAGGAAGCTCGTGAATCTTGAGAAACATCTTTAAAGTACGTTTCAATCGGATAATTAATGGTGTGCGAAAACCATTTTGTGCACACATTTTATCTCTTTTGTATCAATTGCATAAAGATATTCAATAAAAAGAAACAATTAAGTTAAAATGTAACTAAGTGTAGAAGAATCGTGTGCAAGATGCTTATGTAAAATCTTTTTCTCATCTTTATGAAGAAATAATAAAATAAAAATGACTTATTCTTCTATAATAAATATATTGCAAAAAGTTATTCTGATAGTAATTTCTGAATACAATACATAAATGCACGATGTATATACAAGAGATATTTACAAGCAAGTATCGTTTTATTGAATGCCACAAATGTTTCCAGATATTTCTCATTAATAAATTAATAGATATATTCAGCTTATTAAAATGTAAATAATATGTTAAAATAGCACGTTACGTAGAGTTTGAATAATGTTGCTCACACGCGCGATATATTTCGGTTACGGTACAAGTATTTTCATGCGTGCAATAAATATGAAGACGAAAGATGAAAATTTATGGTGATATATATAGCAATACGACGAAATACGTCAAAAAATTTCTATCTCGAAGATTTCGACGATTCACGTGCTTCCTCGATCTTTTGCCATACACCGAGTGGCCGTTGAATAAAACATGTGCCGAACGTTTCTGCTACCACGGGCAATAACATTATTTATTGCGCAATAAATCGTCCCGAGAGAATTTTTACCGTGATAATTGAGACACTTTCGGCGACTCTTATTCCAGCAGAACGCTCGGCACGCAGAATTGGCCCGACAACTGTGCTAAAGAGTTAAAAGCCACGAAATTGCGCATCCCCGCTTGTAATTACATACCGGCCTCTCAACATTCCCCACCGACATTGTCTCCACATATTTGCGTAACTTTTGCCGCTCTTGTCGCCTAACGAACGAGAGCTGATTTTACACGCGAGCTTTTTCGCCAGATTGCCACGGAATTTGTAATTGGACGTATGTTGTTTCGCAAATTAACACTTTGAACCGCGAGTAATGTCAAGGAATGCGAAGGAACCGATTCGTTCGCAAATATCGAGCACGCTCGGCGACGTTATAGAGATTGAAATTGATATAATCTCGGCATTACAAAATCGATCGAGATACATTTACTTGCGGCTTACGTTAAACTATTATTTAGTCATCTGTTAGTTGGTCATCTTATTATTATTATTATAAAATGCGATTACGTAGTCGATTAAGATGTCGAGAAGTCGCTGTTCGATTACAAATCCTTGGCTCACGCTCGTGTCAGGCATGCGAGCGATGTAGTCATCCCATAGATTATTATTCATATCGCATGAAACATGGGCGCTGCGGCGAAACGTTTGCGCAAAACGGGCCCCGATAAACGGGCGGCATCCACCGACCGCAGGGAATCGCGAAGGAATGTCTATGTGCTCAACAGCCTCAAGTCTCTCGTCAAAGAAACGTTTACAATCTTACATCCATTTATACCGAAAAAATAGACTGAAAAAATACCCGATCGTAGGCAATTGCTATACGAAAAGCGATTCCCGGTTATCTCTCGATTCGAAAGAAAAATATTAAACGACGATTCTCGTCTGTTTGTTAAAGTGATGATAAAATTGGCACTCGGACGATGCTTTAAATTGATATCCCGTTACTTACCTGATTGATAAATAATTTATCACCCCTATATTTATTATATTTTACAATAACTAACACTGCAGACGACATTATTATTCGCCGCGCCATTAATGTCTTGTTCTGTATTCAATTACGTGATGAGATTTTGTCAAATTTAGGAATGAGACAAAAATTTCCTATTCGTATTGCTCCGTCGCTTCCTATTCTATTGTTTGTAACTTGTTTTCCTTAATATGCGTGTTCTGCATTTTTTTTCTTATTTATTTCTTTATAACGTAACACAAATAATTGCCACGAGAATAACGAGAGATTGATGATCCTGAAAGAACATCTATATTTAATGCAACAATTTTATTTTAAATTTCTAAACAGGATATATTCTCATTATCTTGACACTTATTCACATAAAAAAAATTGAAATCGACAGGCTCTAATTTCGATCGAAACGGGATGATAGGCGCGAATTCTAATACTAATAATTGAAATTTTGATTGCTCCGGCGAAATGTTCGGAGAGAGATTTAGTGATAGAAAGTGAATATATGCCAGTATTCGACGTTAAACTCAATATTCAATGGGTATCTCTGTATTCGAAACAGATGGTGGCGTTTATACTATTATGTGGCGGAAAAAAAATTACGACAAAAGAATTCTATCGATTAAATAATTTACTTGGCATTTTATATCGATTTTAGAGCATTAATAATTCGCGTAAAAGCCTGCGCTTTTCTGCATTCGAGGAGGGTAAATGCATTGCTGATATCGAATCTACATACCATATATGTATATAGATCGTGAATATTAAGCACCGTGGATATATGAAGCGGAAAGTAAATGTTGTCCGTACCTGCTCACGGAATATTTCAAATATCGCAGCGTTAAAACGCCCACACATTTGTTTTCGATATACCTTCGTCTTTGAAAGAGAAATAAATCACTCGTGTAACATTAAATAAGTTTGCTTGAAAAAGAATTGAATTTCGAATTTCAGTGATGTATTTCTTTTTTTTTTTAGATTTAATATACATGTGAACTTTTAAATGTTTTTAAAAATAGAATTGAATTGATATCAGTGTAATCTAAATAATAATAATAATAATTTAATAGCAAAGGGGAAGGCCTATGCCACAAAAATGCTTTCCGCCTCATATTAGTACGAAAATATTTGTGCCATGAATGAATCGAAGGACAAAATGTTTTTCGTTCCTCCGTAACAACCCTGTCGTATTGTAACTGCATAACAATCTTCGATCACCAATAATAATCGAAGGGCATTTCTTCTCATAAACACTATTAGTTTGCTGATTATTTCTTTATAGATACTTGTCATCGCGTTTTTGCGTCTTCGAGCGTTGTTTTAAAGATAAAAAAATAGTTCAATAAAAATTATAAATTTACATTATTTACAACATATTTTACACTCGATATAATTCTCTGATTCTGATTTTGTTTATCTAATATAAACTTTAAATAAATCAATGAACACACATTTATAACGTAAATAAATAAAGTAGAATTAAAGGCGCTCTGAAGTTAGTTGTGTTAATCACTTAGGCGGTCTTATTAAAAAAATTATTAAAAAAATTTAAAGTAGAATTAATTGGATAAATTATAACAATGCACGAACAGTGCAAGGAATATTTTATTAATTTAATTGTTTTACACAATTGCAGTAATAATTTCTATGTCGGTAAGAAATATTATTTTGCATTGACACGTGAATTATTCAGCGAACCTGACGTACAAATGAAAATTATCACTAATTTTTATGCAAACAGTTCCACTTGTTTTTCTCTGTACACGAGTTAATTTATACACACGTCTTGCTCCACGGAAAAAGAAAGAGAAAACTCCGCTCCACGGTCCATAAACTATTCTCTCCTCACAGTCAACCGCTCAACTCGGCGGCCGCGATTTATCGGAAGCGACGCCGTCAGAAACGGGAGTTCCGGACAGATATCGGACTTAAAAAATGGACGAAAGCGTAACGCGTTCTTTCGGAAACGACACACCTCTTCTAAGCTATGGTTTACGAGTGATCTGGATAAGGTATCAAGCGCATACGTATATATATCCCGGCCAGAGAGATTGGAATTTTCGCACGTTGAAATTTAAGCGGCGGAGGACGGCTCGCGCTATCTCTCGTGTCCACGTTTCTCGGGCGGGAAACGTTTTCAAAAATTGAAACGCGGAGATACGCGCTAAATTGACGACTTGATATAAACTTGATATAAAAGAGGTCGTACAAGTGTGTCGCGCTCTCGGGAAAATCGTTTTTCGCTGGAAAAAGTCTTTGTACGAGCGCGACCAGGGTCAATAGCATGGTAAAAATCTTTCAGATGCGAGTTACGGGAACGTTTATGAACTGTGAAACGGTATGTGAGATCTATCG